GAGATTTTTCATTGCAAGGAGTGACAAATCTGCTGCACTGCAAAAATGTTTCATGAGAATAAAGCAACTGCCAGGTTATAACTAGTATTATTCTGGTATCAGTGCAGAGAAAAATGTTGCTCTAAAACACTAAGACTTACACAACTTTTATATGCTCCAAAATCAAGTTCCCAAACATATAAAATTAAGTGCCACTAGCCAATTCTTTGCAGCCAAGGTTATACATTGAGACAGAAGGTTATATATTGAAAGTAGGAATAAAATCTATACTCCTTCCTCAGGGGGAAAAAAAGGCACATTTGAAAAAATAGAAGCCCTTTTTATAATTTGAAGAAGTATATGAACCCCTGCATCTCAAGTTAAGATAAGAAAGTGGAGTCCATAAATGTTGGCTTCTCTTTTGAGGAACCTGATGATAAGGGTAGGAAAGAGATTGAACAGTAACCATTTGTTTTGGATAGAAACAGACTTAACCATACAATATGGAGAAGGAGCCAATAAAGAAAAATAATTTGAAGTTGCGGGCAAGGTAGATACACATGATGGAACAGGGCATGTCTCAGGAGGCAAAAGGAAATGTGATCATGGCACAGGCAGATGGAATAGTGTGAACGGGAGAGAAATACTACATCTTCTGAGACAGGGAGAAAATAAGTGAAGAGCAGCATGACTGCAGATACGTTTATAGGTAGAAGGGAGAGATTTTTATATCATGCCTAACAACTTCATTTTTCAATGAAGTAGGGTATGAGGTTCTCTTCTAAGAGTAAAGAAGTTACGGTTGTATAAAGAGTGAAAACACAATTGACCCTTGAACAACATGGGTTTATGGGTTTTAATTGTGCAAGTCCACTTATATGTGGATATTGTTCTGCCTCTGCCACACTTAAGATAGCAAGACCAACCCCACTTCCCTTCCTCCTCCTCCTCCTCAGCCTACTCAGTGTGAATACAAGGATAAAAACCTTTATGATGATCTACTTCCACTTAATGAATAGTAAATATATTTTCTCTTCTTTATGATTTTCTTTTTTTCCTTCCTTTTTTTATTGTTATACTTTAAGTTCTAGGGTACATGTGCACAACGTGCAGGTTTGTTACATATGTATACATGTGCCATGTTGGTTTGCTGCACCCATTAACTCGTCGTTTACATTAGGTATATCTCCTAATGCTATCCCTCCCCCCTCCCCTCTCCCCACAATAGGCCCCGGTGTGTGATGTTCCCCTTCCTGTGTCCAAGTGATCTCATTGTTCAGTTCCCACCTATGAGTGAGAACATATGGTGTTTGGTTTTCTGTTCTTGCGATAGTTTGCGGAGAATGATGGTTTCCAGCTGCATCCATGTCCCTACAAAGGACATGAACTCATCCTTTTTTATGGCCACATAGTATTCCATGGTGTATATGTGCCACATTATTTTCTTAACATTTTCTTTCCTCTAGCTTACTTTATTGTAAGGATCTAATACATATCCTTATATAATGCATTAATGTAATATTTATTATAAGCATATAGCATAAAATATGTGTTAATCGACTTTATGTTGTCTGTAAGGCTTCTGGTCAACAGTGAGCTATTTATAGTTAAGTTTTGAGGAGTCAAAAGTTATATACAGATTTTCAACTGCATGGGGGAGGGGGTCAGTGTCCCTAATGCCTGCATTGCTCAGGGGTCAACTGTAATGATAGTGGAGTAGTCATTGAGAGGATTCAGAAAAGGAGCTAATTCAGGGTGAGAGAAAATTGACAAGTGACATTAAGTATCCAGATGAGGCTACAGATCATGGATTTGTACTGGTACCGACCTTCAGGGTTCCCTTCTTCCCCATATCCCCATGCCACCAGTAGTTTCCAGCCATCTATTATAGGTGTGGAGAAAGCAGATTGCAACATTTATCTCAGGGTGTAGGTTTTGCTAGGTAAAAAAGCTAAGGCAAGGATGCAAGAGGTTTGGAAGAGTACTAATGAGATATTAGTTCAAAAAATCAAGGCAAATATCATAAGGAAGAAAAGTAGAGTTACCTCAGAAAGAAAATTGGTCATCCTAATCAAATAATTCTTGTGTTTCTCCCCACAAAATGGTATCTTCAGCTCTGACATCTCTCCTAAATTGTAGACCAAAATTTTTTTCTTTTTTGCTGGGCACCTTCATTTAGATATCTCCCAAGCATTTCAAACTCTCAAATTTGAGATGAAGTCATTTTGCCTTTCAGATGGCCCCTGTTTCTTTTGGTGGTATTGGTATCCTCCTAATTACCCAGAACTGTGCTTCTCTTTATTTCTCATAGCTAATCAATTGCTAAGTCCTTTTAGTTCCATATACAGTTGTCTTTCTCCATTCCCACTGCTACTAACCCACATCAGGCCTTCATTACTTGCCTAGACTGCTGCAATTATAGCCCTCCCAAGCAGGTCTCCTTGCCGTGTGTCTCTTCATTCAACTAGTCCATCCTTCCCTCTAGCTTTAAAAATCATATCACTGGCCGGGCGCGGTGGCTTAAGCCTGTAATCCCAGCACTTTGGGAGGCCGAGACGGGCGGATCACGAGGTCAGGAGATCGAGACTATCCTGGCTAACACGGTGAAACCCCGTCTCTACTAAAAAATACAAAAAACTAACCAGGCGCGGTGGCAGGTGCCTGTAGTCCCAGCTACTCGGGAGACTGAGGCAGGAGAATGGCGTAAACCCGGGAAGCAGAGCTTGCAGTGAGCTGAGATCCTGCCACTGCACTCCAGCCTGGGCCACAGAGCAAGACTCTGTCTCAAAAAAAAAAAAAAAATCGTATCACTGAAGCTTAACTCTGATCAAGGCAGGCCTTTGTTCAGAAACTTAGTGACTTCCCAGCTCCTGCCACATAATTTTGCATGATTTCAAGGCCCTTCACAAGTGGCTCCAACTTACCTATTCATCTTATTTCTCTTTTATGTCTTTACATTATGTCCACTGACTGTTTCCCCCACAACCATCTTTAATAGGACTTGACCTATGCTTGAAATTTATTTTCTTTTCATATCTGCCTATTGTAGCCTTCAAGATCCAGTTCCAATGTTACCAATTCCTTAGAAGCCTTCCTTAACACCCCACAGGCAGAAATAATACCTCCCTTGTATAAACCTCCTTGAGTAAGACCTCTCATTGGGACCTTCTGCTTTGTTACACACTTATATAAAAATCTCATTTTCTTTACTATCCAATTTCTTCCAAAAGTGTAGTGAATAAGTGTAACAAATAAACAGAACTACACAAACTTATTCAATTTGGAAATTTAACAGAGCTTCACATCCATGGTTTTCAGCACTGGCTATATATTAGAATTACATGGGGAGGCTTTAAAAAAATACTAATGATTGATTCAAAGATTTTGATTCATTGGTCTTGGGTGGGGCATGGGCATAAGAATTTTTTAAGTTCCCCAAGTGATGCTAATTTGTGCAGGCAGAATTGAGAACCACTGTCTTAATTCTAGTGCACATTGGTGTGCTAAGTAGAGAAGTGCTAAATCAGTTGACTTAGCTGTGTATACCAGGGTTTGCTTGGTTAGAGGTACTTAGCTTTCTTCTAAAATCATTAATAGTGTTGAAAGGTTCCTCTTGACTATCACAAAGGAAGGATGATTAGAAACAGCAGAATTGTTGGTTTTCATTTGCATGCTTTATTTGGTTATGACAGATTTCAAAAATTATTTGAAGAGTATATCCAAGTGGGTCTTTGAAAATTGTAAGATCTACTCATTTCTTAAAATGAATCAGACATGTGAACTAGTGTGGTCTAGCGGTTAGAAGTGTAGACTAGTGGGAGTACTTCTGGGGTTATTTGTTCATCATTTACTGACTTACATGACCTTAAGAAAGTCACTTGAGCCCCAACACTTCCTGCAACTTCACAGGAAGGTTGAAGACCAACAAGTCAATCTTATAAAAAAAAAAAAAAATTAACAAACTTGGAAATCACGATAGCTTCTTAGGTTTGACTGAGTTGTTGAAATCTTTCCTGCCACAAAGGGAACAACTAGGAAAGAACTGGCATTCAGGAAAAACTCTATCTCCAATTTAGAAAGTTTCCCACCATCCATTTTAAAGTATCTGAATGTTGTAGCTGGACGTGGTGGTGCTTGCCTGTAGTCTCAGCTATTTGGGAGGCTGAGGTAGGAGGATTGTTTGAGCCTAGGAGTTCAAGGCTGCAGTGAGCTGTGATCGCACCACTGCATCTCAGCCTGGGTGACAGAGCCAGGCCATGTCCCTTAGAAAAGGGAATTTTAAATTTAGCCCTGACCTCCTGGCATTTATTTCCTTGTCAGTTATAAAACCATGTTTACTGCAAAACATATCAATAACAGCAGTTTAGCAAAGTACCACGAAGTAGTTACCTATGCATGTGGCCCAGTCCATGTTATTTTATGGAAAAAGAAGAACTCTTCAACAGGGTGACAGGTTCTTTCTGTGTGCCCTAGTAGCTATTGTGTTACTTTGGGGAAGAAGCCAAGGGCCACAGATGAGACAGATGTGTTCAGAGTCTCACTAATGGAGTTGAATCTTCTGCCTTTTCCTCAATAAGAAACAAGCAAGGTAGATAAAGAGTTAATATTAAACATGAAATTGTAATTACTTTCATGCTAAGAAGCATGCAGTGTATATTGTATATTTTATCTAACATACAGATAAAATTCCTTTTGAAAGTATATATCAGAATTTTTTTTCAATATCTGAGAGAGGCATTTTGCAAAATGTCTGGGGTTTGTATGGAGCCCTGCAATTTCTGAAAATAGATGACATTTTGACCCTTTGTGTTGCCGGTCACAGCTCTTCATTTCAGTTTTGATTGTATGGGTGTGCAAACAGGTATTTTGGTTTAATCCTTTATCATTTACCACTTGTTCACGTAGAAAAGGGAAAAATCTCAAGTGTTAGAAGAAGATAAAACATGGGTAAAGTGACAGTTGTTACTGCCATGCAGGAAGAAAGTATTGGGGCCTGATAGATAAGCAAATAGACAAAATACCTTTGTGATAAAGGTCTCCACTTTTCGCACTCTTCTTAGCCAGTATGACCCTGGATAATTCCTTTACCCTCTCCAAAGCCTCAGGTACTTCAGCTTTCAAAAGGAAACTGACTGGATAGGTTGCACCTAAAACACATTTGTGAAAATTAAGTGTGATTTCCTCAAATATAACCATATAGCCTCCTAAAATAAAACTATGCTGTTAAACCTCATCTTTTAGATTCTTTACTTACCCAACCCATTATTAATTAGTGCCTCGTCTTTCCCAGAAGGCTTTTGCTTTTGTTTGATTGTAAGCCTTCAAAGTATCAGGTATTATAATACCCATTTGTTTTAATTGGTTAAAGTGATAAACATAGTGCCTGTGCATGTACACATTGAAGGTATGGCAGTTTGACAGAAATAGTCTTCCTACCTTCTCCTTCCCAGCCCTAACTTCTTGAAGGGTGAAAGAGTGAGTGTTTAAAAAAAATTATTTTAAGCCCAGTGTTATCTTTTAGCAGTCTTTACATCTTCATCACCTATATGCATGGTAATCAGCAGAACAGGCTTCCCTACTGCAGCAGAACTCTGCATGAACCCAGTAATTTCTCAAATCTGTTAGGTACAGAAAAGTGTGTGGCCTTTCACTTCCTGTCCCTTCCTCCAACCCCAAACCATAGAGAAGCATGCTTTCTGGTGACATTTTATTCACATAGACATTCTCACAGCTCTTTATTCTGTAAGATTATGTTGAGTATGAGGAGTGTTGTCCCGTGTCATTTTACAACAGCCTACTCGTTTGATTTTGCAAATTTGGAAATAAATTATGAACACTTAGGAAAATCTTTCTATGAAAGAGTTATTACTTCTGCCCAGTTTTGAAAGTCAGGTTTGGAGATACCTGTGCTATATCATATTAGGCAGGTGCCTGATGTGATCTTCACACATATCACCTAGGATTATTCAGGAAAGGATAATTCAGATTGTGGAGCTACAGTATGGAGTTTCCAGTGGTTCAGTATGAGTGTAGTAAGCAAGACAGTAGGGACCAGAATGGGGAAGGCCACTTAAAAATCCAAGTTCATGGCTGGCTACAGTGGCTCACATCTGTAATCCCAGCACTTTGGGAGGCTGAGGTGGGTGGATCACAAGGTCAGGAGTTCAAGACCAGCCTGACCAACATGCTGAAACCCCATCTCTAATAAAAATACAAAAATTAGCCAGGCGCAGTGGTGGGCACCTGTAATGCCAGCTACTTGGGAGGCTGAGGCAGGAGAACTGCTTGAACCTGGGAGGTAGAGGTTGCAGTGAGCCGAGATCGTGCCACTGCGCTCTAGCCTGGGCGACAGCGCAAGACTCCGTCTCAGAAAAAGAAAAAATCCAAGTTCATTACTGACTTTTATTGTACTCCACGAAATAAATAGCATAGAGATTCATCAGTTTAGCTCCACTTGCTCAATAAACCACAACTTTAACTCTTTATATGTATTTTTCTGTTGACAGAATACAAACTGGTGACTTCCAAAATTATGAATAACTTCTGAGGCTTAGTCAAGAGTTTGTACAGCTCTAAATCCTTGGATAGAAGGTTTTAATAAAAATGCCAACTTTTAATTAAAAATCCCTCTCTTGATTCAGTTATCTTGCCCAAACTTTGAAACTCTTCTTACTACTGTATATAATAATTCCTGTTAACCAGATGTTGTTTGATAGCTCAGTAATAACAAATGGAGGGTACTTGTCCTAACCTGATTTACGTTCTTTCCTTTTGATGTGTAGCATATGTGGAGCAGTCAGCTAAATAAAGGTCTTATCAATAAGATGCAGTTTGACACTTGGCTTTTTGCTTTTGTTGTTACGTCACTTACCATATGGTAAAGAATTGTTACAGAAGGATATCTGTCTTTTCAGAAGTGAGGTTTGAATCGGTGGAGGTTTCATGAGCAGTTTCCTCTTGTTTATGATTTATACATTGCAAGTTTTTATTATGTAAGTTGTTTTCAAATTATATTCACCAGCAGATAGCCTGTGTTAAGCCATCTTAAGTGTCACCTTTTGAGGTTTTTATTCATACTTAAATCACTTGAATAACTTTCAGCAGAAATCTTTTGTTTTTACTTATAGCCAATCACATTCTCTGCTGGTTATTTTTAAAGTATTTCCTGCATAAACCACATTAAATATCAGCTATAGTATACATTACTGTTTTTTATTTATGTAGAAGTTATTTGGGCCCACCATGTTATTATGGGGTTTTGTTTCTTTGTTTTGTTTTGTTTTAGAGACAAAGTCTGTCTTACTGTTTCACCCAGGTTGGAGTACAGTGACATGATCATAGCTCACTGTAAACTTGAACTCCTGGGGTCGAGTTTACAAGTTGTGGGAACCGATCCTCCCGCCTCAGCCTCTTGCTGGGACTTCAGGCGTGCACCTCCACACTCAGCTAATTTTTTTATTTTTGGTAGAGATGGGATCTTGCTCTGTTGCCCAGACTGGTCTCAAGTTCCAGGCCTCAAACAATCTTCCCACCTCAGCCTCCCAATGCACTGGGAATGCAGGTATAAGTCACCACTCCCATGCTGGTTTTATTTGATATTCACTATTAGAAGTTGCAAGATTGGAATAGAGGCTTGAGTCCCTTTCAGTGTATAATGGGGTAGGAGTTGTTCATTAATGAAAAAATTAAACAGGTAAGTAATTAGCATATCATAATTTATACTGCACAGAAAAAGGAATAAAGAATAAGGAGAAAAGAGGAGCCTGGGGAGTCAATTTAACAAAAAAAAAAAGAGAGGAAGCAGGTGTCTGGTAAGATCTTGCAATTGTACTTCAAAGATAACCCGAAAGTAAACATTTTTATTTTATATGTTTATCTTTTTGTGAGACAAGAGTCTCGCTCTGTCACCCAGGCTGGAGTGCAGTGGCACAATCTCGGCTTACTGCAACCCCTGCCTCCAGGGTTCAAGTGATTCTTGTGCCTCAGCCTCCCAAGTAGCTGGGACTACAGGCATGTGCCACTATGCCCAGCTAATTTTTGTATTTTTAGTAGAGATGGGGTTTCACCATGTTGGCCAGGCTTGTCTTGAACTCCTGGCCACAAGTGATCCGCCCAGGTCATTCCTCCCAAAGTACTGAGATTACAGGCATGAGCCACTGTGCCCAGTCTATTTTATGATATATTTCTGTGGGGTTTGACATGTTTTGTTTTATATTTTGAAGTACTGAATTTGGACAGTTTGGACAATATTTATATTATGTGGTACTACATTTTAGAAAAATGATAAGCTAGAAGTGAGTATAGGAAAGAACACCACTGCAAACACCAATCCCAATAGGGAGTAGTCAGATGGCATCTATAAGGAAAGATTAAAAAGACTTGGAATTAACTGAGAACCATTTTCAAGAATATGAAGGAATAACTTTAAGAGCTTACATACCCCCCGACCAAAAACACCCACAAAAGTTCAATGAAGAAGAAAATAAAATTCTGCAAGAGACATTTAGATTATATATGAGAAACAATGTCTAGAATTTAAGGTTTATTAACCATTGCAGCATGCTACATGTAGAAGTGTAGAATCTCCATCCTTCAGAATCATGAAGGTAGTTTATTAGCAGTTTTGTGAAAAGAGACCAAATCATTATATTAAGAAAAGGGTCTATTCTGCTTACTTTGGTGAGACTTTACAAAAAAACACAGGGATGGGGCCTTTGGGTCTCATTTAATTTTTTTTTTTTTTTGAAACGGGGTCTCGCTCTGTCGCCCAGGCTGGAGTGCAGTGGCCGGATCTCAGCTCACTGCAAGCTCCGCCTCCCAGGTTCACGCCATTCTCCTGCCTCAGCCTCCCGTGTAGCTGGGACTACAGGCGCCCACCACCTCACCCAGTTAGTTTTTTGTATTTTTTAATAGAGACGGGCTTTCACCTTGTTAGCCAGGATGGTCTCGATCTCCTGACCTCGTGATCCGCTCGTCTCAGCCTCCCAAAGTGCTGGGATTACAGGCTTGAGCCACCGTGCCCGGCCTCATTTAATTCTTAATAGAAGGAGACTGAAAGGGAGTATAAATTCCCCAAAACAGTTGAGTCTTCATTTTGCTTATAGTTTCTGCTATTCTCATTTACCTAAAAAAAATAAAAATATACCCCATGCAAGAAGAGTGATAGCCAGAATTACACAGAAATAAAGACCTATAGATAACAAGCATTGGTGAAGATACCTGGGATAGGGAACTCTTGCACATTGTCAGTGGGACTGTAAATTAGTTCAGCCATTATGGAGAACAATGTGGAGGTTCCTCAAGACATTAAAAATAGGCCAGGCACCGTGGCTCACACCTGTAATCCCAGCACTTTGGGAGGCTGAGGTGGGTGGATCACGAGGTCAGGAGTTCCAGCCTGGCCAACGTGGTGAAACCCCATCTCTATTAAAAATAGAAAAATTAGCCAGGTATGGTGGTGTGTACCTATAATCCCAGCTACTCAGGAGGCTGAGGCAGGAGAATCGCTTGAACCTGGAAGGCAGAGGTTGCAGTGAGCTGAGATCGTGCCACTGCACTCCAGCCTGGGCAATAGAGTGAGTCTCTGTCTCAAAAAAAAAAAAACCAAAATAGCCCTACAGTATAATCCAGCAATCCCACTGAAGGGTGGGTGGGTGGGTAGGTAGGTAGATAAATAAGACAGAACGATAGATAAGATAGATCCACAGGAAATGAAATCAGTATGTCAGAGAAACATCTGCACTCCCATTTTCATTGCAGCATTGTTCACAATAGCCAAGATACGGAATCAGCCAAAGTGTCCATCAACAGATACATGAATAAAGAAAATATGGTATATATATTTTATATATATATATAAACAGTGGCATATATTCAGCTTTAAAAAGATGGAAATCCTGTTATTTGTGACAACATGGGTGAATCTGGAGGACATTAGGTTAAGTGAAATAAGCCAGGCACAAATACAAATACCATACAATCTCACTTATATGTGGAATCTTAAAAAAAACTTGGGCCAGGTGCAGTGGTTCATGCCTGTAATCCCAGCACTTTAGGAGGCTGAGTTGGAAGGATTGCTTGAGGCCAGGAGATTGGGGCTGCAGTGAGCTCTGATTGCACCACTGCACTCCACCCTGGGTGACAGAGTGAGACCCTGTCTCAAAAAA